AAGACTTTTCAAATGTCACTGACTTCCTAAAGTCTGAACATACAACCTCTGAGTTAACCTGAAAGTTTCAGAGTTTGACAGCTTCCTTCAAAGCATCACCTCAGAAAATCTGCTTTCAAACCCACAGAGTCACAGATGTGCTGTCATCCTTACCCCCTCCTAAGCCACTGAGCCTTTTCTCTGAGTTTTTATTTGGTCTTTTGACTTTCAAGCATTTGTGCGACCCTCAGAGTGCAAGCCAGGGAGCATGCACTGATGCCAGAGGCTCAATGCTTTCAGCCTGGCACTGGGCACACAGTGAGGTTCTCAGCCACCATGTGTACTTTTATCAAGAAGCTGTTTTTAAATAATTCACTTTGATATTCAGCCTATAGCCTCTCAGGTCTTTCAAACAGCCATCAAACTCAACTTCTGTGTCATGTAGAAGCTTTTTTTGTAAAGTTGCATCTGTTACCAAGAAGTTCACATTTCACGGTCACTGACTTCAGAAATTACACCGACAAACTTTAGACTTGATTAAAAGATAAACACACACCTTCACCTTCACCTTCTGCAGCGTCATCTGGCTGTTCAGCCTCTCCGTTTACATCAGTGGAGGAAGCACGACGAGGTGAGATCTGAAGACAAATGTAAGGATGAACCATTAGACATTTTTATTGCAAACAACAATTACAAATAGAAACAATCCATCAATCATCTGATCATTGTGACCTTGAGGCTGCGTCGAGTCCCGGGGCTGGTGGGGGATGGGCTGGACCTGGATGATTTTCCAGAGGTCTCATTAGCTGAAAGCAAGAAGGAAGTGATCTGATTGGTCAAAATAATTGTATACACATACCTGCATGAGTTTGAAGACAGTGATGAAGAAGTATATGGTGGAAGAAACAGATGGTTAAGTGTGCTAAGAAATTATTCATGTACTTCATTCTTACTTGAGTGCCCATTTTCTGCAATTTAAACCTGGTCCCTTGTGAAAAAATGCCCACAATTCTACTCAGAGAACACTGACAGATGTTCATTATTCCATGTAAACAGGGACAGCCGTTTACCACCAGTTTAACCAGTTTGTGAAAATATTATGAAACGATCTTGCTTTGTAGCCCTTGATGTAACTAACTGAACCTATTGCAATACTAATCTAAATCCCTTTAAACCAGGGATAGGCCATGTGAGTCTTCCAGTGATATCTCTGTGTGACTATCAACACTAAATAAGACTTTTACCTACCACAGATGCCTTAAATCGCTTCGCTAAAAAGCAGCAGAAATCAATTACCACACATGCTTTGCCCAATTGTGGGTGCTGACACTGCACCAAGAGCTGGCACACAGTCTGCTGTGCAAATTTCACTGCTAATTTATTTATATTTTGCTGAATATTTTGCACTGAAATATGAATTTACTGTTAATCAGATCTTTGCTTTTTTGTTACGTTTTTTTCCTTTGCTCCTCCATGGCATGTTACACAAAGCGCCATGAGTGGAAAAGTGCTTTTTGAGGACACGCTGTACTGTGAGATGACATATGGCAATAAGTTTTTTTGGCTAACAGCTCTTTAGGAATCACTTTGTTGGTGCAAAAATGTTATTTAAATTTCTTTTAAAGTGTCTGAGATTTTTCAGAGATTCGAGTAAAGAGGCAGGAACGAGTGATGTGTTTGTGCGTTTGTGTTTTGTTGCAGCAAAGTGTCTAAAGATACATTATTTTTACTACGTAAGCTGTTACCATATGTGTAGAAAACACTGGCTGAGTTGTTAAAAAAAAAAAAAAAGAATTTTGGTGCAAATTTTAATTTGAGTGAGAGAGCACTATGTGAATAAAGGGTTCAGATGCCCAAGGCTGAGGAACAAGGACTTTTAGCAACACTTAGATGATAGAAGAACTGTGTATGTACTTTTTGTGACATCAACCTGACAAAAACTTCTTGTTATATCTTTCTACTGATAGTTATTAGCGGCGGTTTTCTTATTGCTTCATACCTGGACCAGGTGACTTTGTCCTGGGCAGACCTTTGGGTAGAGTCCTAGAGGAGGAGAAGCCGGAGCTGCTGGGGGTCTTGGTTGTTTTCTGAGGGGCAGATGAGCGAGAGACCTTGGTCCTGCACTCTGGAAAGAGAGAAAAGGGTCGTGTAAAACTGAGAGCTACACATTCTCTCAGTGGTTAACAGGATTGTGTTATGAGCAGGCTTTTGATGTTTTTCATATTTGTATTTGCACATGTAAATACAAATTTTGTGAGTCTTTGTTATTCTTTTTACGATTCAAATAATTTGTTGTTTGCTAACAAAAAACAGAAAAACACTCTACAAACAATACAAAGATGGGTGTGCGTTTGTGTTACCATTCACAAAGGCCGGTGTTTTGCCGCTGTGTGTGAGCACAAAGTCGTCCTGAGCGTAGCGAAACTTCTCTGGACCGCAGGCCATAAACACATCGTCATCCCCGAAAAAATCCTGCAAACAAGTCAGCTGCACACACAAAGAGAAGCACACGCTGTGATTCATCAGATTTTAGGAAAAGCTGCAGTGGCATATGTGTGTTCAGAGTGTGTGTGTGTGTGTGTGTGTGTGTGTGTAGCAACACCAGACATGTGTGCATGTGTGTGTCTGTGAGAGAGCAACAGAGCAGATGACAGATGGGAAATTTTGAATCATGTTTACAGCTGGCAACGCTTCAATGGGCTCTGACACACACACACACACACACACACACACACACACACACAC